AGACCTCACCCTAGGTACCATCAACTTCAATCTCAAAGAAGGAATGGGTATCCGTTTCGACCGGGACCGAGCAGCCAACACAAACGTCAAGATGGGCACCATCACCTGCAACGGCGGCACATCGCACTGCGTCGAGACATGGTAAGGGAATGACTGCAAAACTGCACGCAAGACGTACGCTGATTTCATATCTTCAGGAACATCGACAAGCTCGACATCGGCTCGGTAGTCGGCAAGAACGTCGGAGAATGCGGTCTCCTTCTCCAGAAGGTCACCAACGCGAAGGTCGGCACCGTGGACTGCGACAACTGCGGCGCTGGCACTGGCTACGCGGCTCTCCGTTTCGCCAACGAAGCCGGAAAGGTCAACGGCGGATACGGAACTAACATCTACGTCAACCGCGTCAAGGCTCGTGGCGGCGGTCGCGGCATCTTCTGTGTATCTGCGTCTGGAGGTGCGGAGATCGGTACGATCGATGTCGCCAACACGGGCAACAACGCGATTTTGCTCGAGAACTGCTACAATGTCAACATTAAGGCTGGTACTGTTAGTGGTGGTGGTGAGGTTCGTCTAGCGGCTAGGACCGAGTTTGCGAACAGCAGGGATATTGCCATCGCCTTGAAGGTTGATGGAACCAGTGTGACGGAGAACCCGTGCACTGTCAATAAGACCAAATGGAGCCTCACCGGAAACGGGGCGAGGAAGATCTGCACATAGGTCCTTCCCTGTTTCCTCATTAGGAGCATCTCGCGGTGCTGACGGACGGATTTGGACGGCGTGTATTCGCAACTTCATTGTATATATTGACAATCTCGAGTACATATAAATCCTCATTCTTAAGCACTTTCGAGCAGGCGACATGGTTTGTGATTCGAGCAATCGTGTTCACGATACTGGAATGAAGTTGATGCGGAATCCGGGTCGATGGCTGAAGCGAAACCTGATTTTGCATGACACAAATAGGCACGTAGGCAGCGCAACGCGTCAAGTGCAGTGTAAGTCATGCATCAGCTACCACTAGAAAGTCATACACGCCAAGAAAAGGCGGACAAATTCGTTGGGGCGAGGGCTTACGTGTGACCGAGATTACTGCTACCATATTAACCAACCGCTGTCAACTTTGAGTACCACAAAGCTGAGCGGGAGGGTGTACCTCGCTTATTACCCAAGTTCTGTTTCCAATGGGCTTCATCGCGCGAGTGTAGTTGCGACTAATAGATGTTGCGTTGGCCCCAAGCGCCTCGCGAGCGGTCGTAAGCCGAGGGTGCGAAAGGGGGTGTGTTGCTGAATACTAAAACCAGCCCGAGTCGCGTCTCCTCGATTGTCCAGCTCTTCATTTAGTCCATCATTTCGTGATGTCGCGCAGAACCTTCTCTTTCATATTTCTGTTGCAACTCGCTTGCTTGCAGCCTGTAATGGCAGCCTGCTACTGGCGCAACGGCACGGAAAACACAAACAGTGCGTACTCGACACAACTCAACAACACCCAGGATCCTCTTAGCAACATTTGCTGTGCTCGTTGGGATAACTTACTGAGGAACGGGCTGTGTCAGAATAAGGCTGACGGGGCCATCTGGCGAGAGTCGTGTACGAAAAGCAATTGGGGGGAAGGAGGATGCCAGGAGCTCTGTTCGGACGAGGTACGATTCATGCAAAATTCTTAGTAGGCCATCAAAACTGACGACGGTTAGGATTCTTTACAAAGAAGCAAAGATACCAAGGTGACACCATGCACCGGTGACGTTGATTCGTTGACCTGGTGTTGCGGTAACACTACTCAATGCTGCACGGATGGGAGCACAACACCGCGATACACCATAGCAGCGCAATTTGGGGACCCCATACCCACCCTGACGTCTTCATTAGGCTCTTCTTCGACCGCATCTTCGATCGCGTCGTCCACGGTATCGTCGTCTCCGTCGAGTACGCCAATAGCCACTGGTGACAGTGAGCTCTCTACAGGTGCGAAAGCTGGTATCGGTGTTGGAGCTTCGATTGGAGCCATCGCCTTGATCGGATTAGGCATATTCATCGCTAAGGCGCTGCGCTGGCGCAAGAAGGCGCGGGATGCCCCTACGCCTTATGTTGCACCTGAAGAACAGCCATCAAAAGAGATTTATCGATATGAGAAGGGTGGCAGCGAGACTGCACAACTGGCCAGTGCGGAGATTCAATTGCATGAGCTGTCGGGGTCTGGAGGGGCTTCCGAGCTCGATCAGGTTCGAGACAGTAGGGTAGTCAGCCGTGGTGCCTCGGTGGTTTGATGCATGGCGGATGCGTGTCGTTTGATGATAATGTGGATGGCGGAGCGTGTGGGCTGTAACTGCGAAGGCTGAAGGCTTCGGGGGGCCGGTCACGCTAAAACGCTAGCTCAAGCGCTCAAAGAAGGGGCGGCTCAATCACGTTGCAATTTGCACCATCTACACCACCTTGATCTTCTCCCATTCGGGCACTGGCTGTGTTCTGTATCGCATTGTATGGCGTACCGCAAGGCCTTTGGGAACCTCGCTTCTCCATCGCCCATTATCGAGCCGCCCGAGTCTAGCGATGACGTCATTCGCTGTCGCTACCGGGTTCCACCACAGCCGCCATCATGCAAGGAGATCCGCTCTTCTTGAAGTGCTGCATCTTCATTGGGGTGCTGCGCTCCATCTTCTGATCTCGTCCTCAAGACCGCAACTTCACGGTGGACGTTCATGGCTGCGTGTTACCCCAGCAGGCCCGGGCCGGCGGCCGTGATGGGGGTAGTAGACCCATCACGAAATGAGATTCTGAACGCAATGCGCCGTGGCATACTGTTTTCAGCTTCAGATTGGTTAATCGAGCACTTCAGCAGCTTCTACTGCATAGCTCTCTGTGCATGATGACATGCATGCTGCTGGCAGTGGACGCCACTCGTAGGCCCGCCACAAAAGACGGCCGAATAAACAGGCATGCTTTCACGTTGTACAACGTACTCTCATCGGTCATGTATGCAGCTCGACATTTGGGCTACTGATCTTGCAAGGCTGGTGGTACTGATAAGAACATAGGCCCCATCTTCTGAAGGTAACTCCCTGGATCACGAAACACCTGATTACCGATGACAGAAATGACAAATGCGACAGGAATCAGACCGATTGACGTGAGATGCGATGTTATCAGCGCTGAGAAGAATGCTGTGCAACAAGCAATCGAGGAGCAGGGGACCAATGGCACGCAGGATCTTGGAGGAGGGGCACTAGATGTAAGACCACAGCTCAAACATGGGCTTTCACTAATGGCTTGCAGCGATACATCAACGCCTCCTCTGTGAACTTTTCCTTCCTCATGCAATGTTCCTGGGAAGCATCCGCGCTTACTTTTCAGTTCGCACTGAGCAATGGCGGGCCAGCGTCCATCGTCTACGGTAGCGTATTCGCATGGGCGGGAACCATTCTCGTAGCCTTATCGCTTGCCGAAATGTCTTCCATGGACCCTACAGTTGGTGCTCAATACCGGTGGTCTGCCGCCTTCGCGCCAATATATAATCGCTTCTTCGGTTTGATGCAAGGCTGGATCACCGTCTTCGCTTGGATCTGTTGCTGCACTTCGAATGCAGCGCTAATATCGAATATCGTCGCCGCTATGGCCTCCTTCAATAACCCAGGGTACGTGGTTCAGCGGTGGCACACAACACTCATCATGTGCGCTTCGACGATAATTCCGTTCATCGGCAACCTTTGGCTTCCTAGAATTATCAACGTCCTCGAGACAGTGGGGGCAATATGCCATGTCGCGTTCTTCTTTGCGGGTATCGTTACCTTGGCTGTAATGGCAGAAAAGAGTTCCACGGAATATGTGTTTCAGACCTTGACCCACGACATCAGTGGTTGGAGAAACCCTACGGTGGCCTGGGGTATAGGGCTGATCACTGCTGTATACCCGCTGGCCGGTAAGTTCTGATAGATTCCTGGCTTGCCGCAGCTATACTGATGAGTTCAGGTTTCGATAGCGTAATCCACATGTCCGACGAAGTCAAGCAAGCACATACCCGGGTTCCGCGCTCCATCATCTTCTCTGTCGGAATGAACGGTCTCATGCAACTTATCTACATGATCACCGTTCTCTTCACGATTGGAGACGTGGATCGCGCTTCCGCTTCGCCTCTACCAATTATCGAAGTCTACTATCAGGCCACGGGATCTAAAGCAGCCACAAATTTGTTCATGTTCATGCTGGTCTACATAATCTTCGTATCGTTCTTCAACATATTCGCCTCGGTTTCTCGTCTTATTTGGGCGTTCTCCAAGGACGAGGGATTGCCGTTCTCGCATACCTTTGCTAAGGTCCACCCTGAGCTGAGGGTACCGGTCAACGCATTGTGTCTCAGCGGCCTCTGCGTTTGTATCCTGGCTCTTATCAACATCGCTTCGAGCACTGCTTTCAATGCTCTTATCTCCCTTCCCGCAATGGGCTTGTACCTATCGTACTTTCTACCCGTATTGTTCCTTTTCTGGCGTCGGACGATAAGCGCGAGGCCTCTACCAATTCCATGGGGTCCATTTAAGCTGGGCGCAGCTGGCGCATACATCAACGCCGGAGCTTTGTGCTACATCGTCTTCACCTTTGTTTGGATGCCACTACCCACTATCCTCCCTGTGGACAGGTTCAACATGAACTATGCGGGACCGATTCTAGGTGCGATCATATTAGGCGCTGCTGTAGACTGGTCATGGAAGGGGAGGAAGAGGTTTCAAGTGCCAGTTGCGAATCGAGCATTTCAGTGAATGGACTGAGAACCCTCTTGCAGAGAAGAACCCAATCTTCTTACACGCACTCGATGCGATAGCTCAAGGCACCGTAACCCACCTCAAAGTCTATTTCACTAAGAAGGGCCCGCGTGGTATACTGCCTTCTTTTATCTATCCCAGCTTTCACCTAATCGGTTTCTACGACTTGAGTATTTATATCATTCGTTTCTCTTCTCTCAAGGCTGCATCGATCTACCCAACCGCATTCCACACTTATTCGCGACCACGATGACTCAACTCAATCAACCCTCGAAGGAGCCTGCTAAAGCGCGCGTGGAAGAACTCGGAGAAATCTCGCGTCCAACAGTCCAATCCATGTCTCTGCCGCGCCCACCCCCGAATCCAGTGTCAGACCTCATGGATCTTGTCATCAATCGAGAGTCGCGCTACACAACGCACTCACTCATCACATCTTACCTCGGTATTGATGATATACGCAATGTTCAGTTAGCCTGCAGAAAGACGTCGGATCTGTACGCGGACTTGAAGAAGACCCAGTGGAACATCAACACATGCCTGCAGCCATTCTTCAAAAACATTCAAAAGTTCCGCTGTGTGCAGGCCCAGACCGAGACTTTGATTGGAAGCAAGTTCGCCGGGAACTTCTTCCGTCGTCTGCAGGTCAAGAACGAACTTGAGCTCTTTACGCAAGCTGGGGAGAAGGCAGATGCTCTCATTAGCTATCTCGAAAAGAACGGGTATGTTCGAGACAAAGACTTCTCTCATGACCGCGTTACGTTTGGTGCTTCAAGGGTAAGTCTGCGTTACTATGCATCGTTATCCAAATAGATGTCACTAACTACTGGAAGTCTTCTCTCTTCACGAAGACGTCGCCCAATGACCGTAGCCAAGTTTTCATCACTCTTCGGCACTGTGTTCATTCACCCATCGATGTGTTCCTCAAATGCTGTATAACCTCTTCTCGAGCATGCTTCATTTCTTGGAATAAGGCCTATTACCTGTTTCCCACCACGAGCATCCGCAAGCGAACGTCGTACCTAATGATACCAATGTCACAAGCAGAATCTTCACCCGCGATCGCCGCGATAAAGCGCGACTTCGAAGAAGGATTTATCGTCAAGACTGGGGAGTGGGTGGTCAACCCCTATGGAGAGGCGTCGGAGTCACACCCGGAGTTCGCTTCCGCCCGGACCGCTGGCGACAATCTCTCATGGGTAATCAAGCTTGATACCACCGAAATCACCCCTGCTACAGCCCCGGACTCGCTACTTGACGATGCGCAATTCTCCATGGGTGCAACCTGCATTTCGAGCATAGTGTCCTACCTTCAGTTCAGATATGATGTACTCGCATCTTGCGCCCTACAACATACATACATCTGTCATTCGCGAACCCACTTTGTACCAGGCGGCGGTCACAGGCAAGACGATTACAGGGATCAGATGCAGTACCTCGAAAAGCTACTGAACGATCAGACATCCATGCAACTCACCATGCTTAACCGAGACGACCGGCCCCCTCAATATGTCAGAATCACTAGTACGAGAGGAAGCGACCACACGGCTAAGGGTCACTTCACGGTGCCTCCGAACTGGAATTACTTCGACGCAGAGATTCAGGCTGAGCTTCGGAAAATAACTAAGCAGTTGCTCGCTACCGACGCATCTTGCCTACCGAAATAGAACAGCCTCATACAAGGGAAGTTGGAACAGGTCTGCAGACCACATGAGGGTAAAATGAGAAGGATAGTAGACCTAGCGCCCACGTAATTTTAACGGTGTTCGGCTTTTGCCCTTCATAAAGGCCGTGTCAGAATGACATCAATATAATATATAATTGCTGGTTTGCACTCTTGCGACTTATCACGAACCTGCTAGCTCTCACATCCTTTTTCATCTCCCAGAATGAACGCTATTCCAATCTATCTAATCAACGAACCAGTCCAACTTCATCTCGACCCATAGACCCGCTTCGTGGCTACAACGCGCAATAGCGCTGCTCACAGATCTCATCAGCCTTCGCTTCCTCATCTTTTAGAACTACCTTGTTGCAACCCGCAATCATCTTCACCACCTTGCGAAACGATGACTTAGGTTCCCCTGAGCAATACGTTCACTCCACTGATCTGAATCTTGCCAAACGCCGTTTTCCGCAAGCCACACAGCTCGGCAAAGAGGACATGTCTTCTCGTCATCCGGGCGCTGTTTCAGGAATTCTTTGAGACAGTCTCGACCGATCATGTGTTCGCAGCCTTGGATTCCCTTGATCTTGACACAAGGATGAGCCGCAGCATTCTCCATGCAGACTGGGCAGTCTGTGTTTGTCGTGCTAGTCGTGTTGGCGGCGGTGAGGGGCTCAGTGTTGCGTGCGACGAAGTTGTTGATACGCTGCTCGCTGCTTTCAGTGGGTTGGTAGTCTGCTGGGAGGGGATGAGGCTCGAATTCTACTGGGAAACCGCCTCGTGTAGGGACTGGAACGTACCCAGATCTACGTGGTGGGGTGGGGTGAGCATGGAAAGGCAGGTCTTCGCCTAGTCCGAAGCCTCCAACGTGGACATGATTGCTACTGGTAGGTCCAAATGGAAAGTTCGCGCCGAAACTGCTTCCAGGTCTATTAGCTCTAGGCTCATGAGCGATGTCGTTTCCAGAGAAGATGGGATGGCTGAAGGCTCCCTCAAATGCACTATCGAACGCAGCACCCATACCGATACGAAGGGCGTCGAACCCCGGAACACCGTCTGCGTCGTCGAAAGGAAATCCTGGACCGAAAGCACCTCGCATGCTTTGGCTTTGTGGCCTAGAGCCGAGCATGCTGTCCAGGTCCGCCATAGTGTCGGCTAGATGGTGCATAGCATCGTGGAACCCGTGGGGACTGGAGTGTCTGATGTCAGTTTCGTATTCATCGTCTTCGTCATCCTCGTCATCTTCCTCCTCGGTGAACACAATGTGGGAGGGCTGACGAGAGCTTCGGGGAACATACGCTGTAGCCTGGCTGCGTGTTTGATGCGGATGGCCGCCACCACCACTACCGCCGCCGAGACGCTGTCCTCGTGTGCTGAAATTCTGACCCGCACGATTGCCGGAGCTCGATCTATTATTCCCACGACCGGAATAACTCATTCTCAATAGTATGTGTCGAAGGTTTCGTTCTGTGAGGTTCAGTGATTAATTGGTTGTGATTGGGAGAAACGCGCAGTGATGTGGTGAGTGCGCAATATGAAACAGGCGCGACTTAAATAGGCGACGGGCTGTGCGGTCGAGTGAATGAGAGATGATCTAATGCGAGTGAATTCTGGAAGCGTTTTGTAATAAGTCAGCTGTGGGTTAAGTGAAAGCTGTGGGAGCATGCCAGTGCACCGGGAAGATGAAGGTGAACGGATGACCTTGTGAAGACTAGATAGATGTCTCACAGCGAGCATGCAATGTGTCTCTTCTACTTCTTCCCCTTCTTCTTTGAATCGCTGTCTTTGCCTTCTTTTGCGAAACCACCCAAGACTAATGCCTCCCTAGCCGTAGTGTTGATGATGCGAAAGCGGTCAGGACCTAGATGTATACCACCATACCATCTTGTGACAACCACCATGACGTTCCAAACATCCATCAACTGCATTAAGTGCAGCATGCGCGATCCTGCAGCAGTCTCACCATCATCGTCGCAGTCTTGGTAGCTTGTATCGTTGGGGCCTTTGATCCGCCAGGCAGTCATGTTATGAGTTGCGCGAGCAGCCTTCTTGTCTGTCGCTAGGAGATGCGCGACGTACTGTCTAGCCTGTGCTGGTGACGATACAGGTGCTGCGCGAGCTAAGAAAACCGACTTCTTCTCGGTAAGGACGGGTGCTACAACCCAAGGTGGCTCCGGTCCAAGGTCGACGGCCGGGTCGGACTGTATGGGAGAGGTTTGGTCTTGTTCTAAGTGCTCGTCCTGGTGTTGATCGTGTAGTTGGATGTCTCCTTGCTCTTCCGCTTGCTCCAAAGCCTCTCTTGCCTCTTCGAGCAGATCGTAAATACATGCCTCACCAGGCTGGTAGATCCTTGCCAGCACTTCTCTCACTACATCGACAGCCTGGCTGCCCATACCCTTGGGGACATCTTGTCCCACACTCTGAGTGCCTAGCACGGATGGCGGCGCATCCGGATAGTCTGCTGGAAATTCTATACGCAGAGTTATCGATGGCAGCGACGGCAGACGTAGACTGTATAGTCGTTGGTCTTCATCTAAGGCTGACAGGGTGCCTTCGTCGAAGATGGCGTTGAGCGAGGTGACCTCATCTTGGATGGCGTCGTTGGCGGACATTTCTGTGATTGCCTTGGCCGATGGCGGGGTGAACGATGCGGAAGGCGCGCTAGCTTAGCGTCGTTCGCGTTCGCAAGCTTGGAAACATCAACACCCTCGCGACACCCATGCCGACCTCCTTCCCCACCACGAACTCATTGTCGCAACCTCACGTCGCCAAACATGGCGCCAAATGATGATGCTAAGCGCAAGTCAGGTCTAACGATTGCGCAGGTGAAGTTCAAGCAGGCAATGAAGGATTCCGATGCCGAAGATCGTTCAGCGCCCATTGCAGTCGAAATTAGCTCTCAGCTCTTCAACCACGTTGATGCCGTTCTTCAGCAGAACTCGCCCATCAATATCCAGGTATCTAACTATAAGACCGCGATCACATGTCACCGGGAGCAGACTAATTCGCCGCTCGTAGAAATGCACAGAATGGATTGTGAAGCACGTAGCTCCCTCCAAGGCTCGGATCACCACCCTCGGCGCGTATCTCATCGCTGTCTCAAAGTCTGTCGTAGTAGATCAGAGCACTCCAGCGCTAGCGAAGAAAGCAGCGCGCAACCGGATGGATCTCTTGTTGATCGTCAACGATGCCCTCCATGCTGACAAGTTCCATCGTCGCGACACGACAAAGCAGAGTATTCTTGGCAACGCGTGTCAAGATTTTGTCCCTGACTTGATCGAACTCGCAGCGGCGTGTATCACCGAGAAGGGATCGCAGCTAGAGGTGAAGCTGAAAGCCATTGTCAACTACTGGGCTGTTAACAAGCTCTTGAGCTCAGAGGGTCTGAAAGCTTGTCGACACAAGGCAGACGAGGCCTTGTCCGTAGCACAGGGTCGCAAGCGCAACTACGTCCTTCCCGAATACCACGGCGACCGAAATGCCAGATGGCACGATCTCCCCGCATCGTACATGCTCGAGCCCATAATCAAACACCCGAACCGCCCGATCCACGAATCTCAAATCAAGATACGGAAGTTTGACAAGAAGCCTGTCAGTTCGCACGTTCGCAGCCTCCTCGATAACTTCTTCGAAAACATCGACCTAAAGTACCTGCCAACGGGCGATAATCCGACCGGGGAAACAACCAAATATAGGCTTTCGTTGGATCCTATGGGCCAGCTGGTTAAGCAGGACAAGGAGACTGGCGAGACAACTACAGTGGCAAACGGCTACGGCTGGTCGCCAAAGTTCTGTCAAGACATACAGAAGTTCACCGTCCCGGAGACGATCAAGATCGCGCGAGAGGACATCGAACGCATGGAGGACATGGAGGACCCACCGGTCTTGTCTGTCGCGCGTCGCGTTGGCCACGATAGTCGACCCTCTACCTCCTCGTCGACAGAGTCGGGCCCACCCTATAGGGAACGAAGAAGGGGATACAATCGTAGCCGCAGTCGCAGTCGCAGTCGCCGTAGCCCTGGGGGTTATCAGTATGACGACGCACGCCGTCGATTGTCGCCCGACGGATCCATGGGTCGCCGCAGGGTATCACCACATGGACCTTCGCGCCGAGAGTCTGAGGGCAGAGGTTTCGTCGAGGCGCGACCGTCATCAAGGGCATACGACAGAGAAGGATCTCAGCCTGGATCACAGTGGAGTGGTGCGAACAGGAACACCCAGTCCAGTCCCAACAACCATCAGCATCAGGTCCCGCCCATGCTGCATCAGCCGCCTTTCAACGCGCCGCCGTTTCCACCACCGCACATGTCAGGCCAGTTCCAAGGCCAGTTCCCGATGCCAATGCCGCCATTCGGTGTTCCTCCCCCTCCACCACCGCAGTTCCAAGGACGTGGTGGCTTCGTTCCCCCTCCCCCGCCCCCTAACTTCAACGGCATGTGGCAGCCTCCTCCTCCCAACATGAACATGCCACCGAACGGTCCGCAACAAGGCAATCAGGGTGGCAACCAATTTGGCAACCACCACGGAGGCCAGGGTGGAAACCGGGGCGGCAACCAATTCGGAAATCAGGGCGGCAACCAGTATGGTAACAACTTCGGTCCCGGCAACAATGGCCAGTATGGTCAAAACCGTGGCGGATACCAAGGCGGACGCGGTTATGGAGGTGGGCAGCGCGGTGGCAACAACGGCAACAGAGGAGGCTGGAGGGGTAACGGACGAGGCGGGCGATACTGAGATGTGAACGCATGCGACCAAATGGCGCATGCAGATATGCGTTCAGGATCGATGCGCAAAACTGTAGGATATCCAACCCATGCCGGTATTCCTTGGAGGAAGCATGCACATTCTTATGAAAGACTTTAGAGCCCTTCTCTGGGAGACTTGATTATCTTATAGCTTGCCTAATCTACTCATTGTATACTTGGCCGTATGTTTTCATGTCTTGACGCGAGTGACTCTGACATTGGCGTGATTCGTAGCATGCTCTGAATGTATCGCAAG